GTTGACACTCTTTGGCTGGGTCGTCCTGCCAATTGACGCTTCACATGGCGTCGCCACCCATGTACGTGAATGCATTGCAGGATCTGTAGAGCCTCGCACCAGTCTCAAGCAATCCGTGATGGACTGATGCGCAGCAGATGTTTGATCCGCATAAGGGAGGCCTCCACCTACACGACAGGCATCAGCACATACGTCAAAATAAACGACGACAACATGCCTCTCAATAAACTCCCAATAGGGCCTGCTAAAAAACGTCTTGATTTTAACGATCACGCGTCTGTCCTCTCCCGCTGCGGTGAAGGAGGGGTGGCTGCCCAAGCACTGCAGCAGCAGCAACGCCATCCACCGGACGACAGCCCTCATCGCGGAAAGCACCCGCATGCCATCCTCATCCGCCATCATATATACCCCGCCGCGTGGAATGATATGTGCGATTGTATGTGTTGTTGTTAATGTGTGACGTTAGTTTTTCGTCATTGTACCCCGCACTGACCTTGCTTGTTAAAACAACTACATATGGAAGGTAAAAAAACGAAGGCAATGAAGATAAGTGGAGAAGTGGAGAGAAACTTGGACGGAAAACACCCAAAGAAAAAATAATAAAAGTATAAAACGTTGTAGACATCGCACACACTGCAATGCATGTTGTAAGGCAAAGGTAAATGCACCCAAGCAGAGCACAGAGAGCACAGAAGAGTCCATTTGAGAAGAAAACGAAATTAACTCGTCGGCTGCGGCAGTTTAGCCTGCAAAGCAACTTTTTCTATTTCTTCCTGATTCTTATTCGCTAGTTGAGGCCAAGCCATTCAGCCCAACCCATTTCACGCTTCCGAGTGGTGGGAGAAGTCAATCGTGAGCTTTTCAGCGCCGCCTCCGTCATCCGAGTTGGCGAGCAGTGCAGTGCTGGTGGCGAAGTATTTCTTTTTGCAGTGTGTGGTTCTGGTGGCAACAGCACTACTTGCCGGGAATTGACTTTATTATTCGCAACCGCTTTGATGGGTGGTTGCGCAAGACACAGTGCAACGCTGTTACATGTACTTTGTTCCGCATTTGACAATCGCAGGTGGTGAAGTTCACGTCGCAACTGCATAACTTGTGACGCCAAATAGTGTACATTCTGCTCAGTGGGTTCCGAGTAGGCACGCAAGTCATCGTCCCACGTATCCACAACTGAAGCATGTGTTTTGTCTCCTCCATGAAGGGTGGTAACACTTTTTATTCCTGCATCTGTGCTGTGTTCGAGTGTCCCACACTTCTCCACCCAGTTCACTGACCCACCCAAACGCTCCTCCAGAATCTTAACAAAATTCACCATCGCCTCATATTTAGACATGTCGCCCAGTTGCTTCCATGCAGCGTACTTAAGCCGCTCACGTGTCCACCATATAGACGGTGCCCCGCCTGTGCATGGACCGTGCTCTGCCTGCTGCCGAAGAGCGTAGAACACAAGCTTCTCCTTGTCGTCAAGCTGTGTTGATACCTCAATATCGCCAAACTCATGGTCAAAAAACTGTGAGACTTTAATATATTTTTCTGGAAAAGCGTAGTCCATTAACACAACCCTTGAGCTGTGGCCTCATCCTGTTTGAGTGAGGAGTTAAAGAGGAAGCTAGTCTGTGAAACACACGTGAACAGAAACAGTAGCTGCACTGTCACTCCTTGCACCTTTTTCATATCATATTGGGTTTTGTAAAATCTTATTCTTGCCCTCCATTTTCTTTTTATTTTGTTCCTTTTTAAAGGCCCTTGTGGCCTCCTTCGCTTCCACATACAAACGCCCTTGACTCCACCGACTGCACCTGCACACATCGCCCTCAATCACCATCACCATCACCCTCCTGCTTCCCAATGAAGTTTGTTTATGCACAATAATTGGCGTCATGGCCCAATCACATTCTTTTACCGCCTTCTCCCCACTCAAATTCACTCTTGATACTCAAGTATATATATATATATATATATATATATATAGTAG